CATAAGTTCATGATTTCTTCATCTAATAGTGTGAATTCGTTCTACGTAAGTTCATGAAGATTTCACGACGATCGCTTCATCAACATCGTTGACTCGTCCCCTTTGAAGTTCTTGTTTGACCCAATTTTGGAGACCATTTAAGAAATAAAACATCAAGTCTTCACTGGTCAGACTCGGAATTTGAAGAGTGAGTTTTGTGAACTCTTTCACAAAGTCACGAATGGAGAAGGTTTGCTTCAATTCCCTCAACTTCTAACGAGCCTCATGTACTACGTTTTGAGGATAAAATTGACGCTTTAACTCCTCCTTGAACTGCCTTCAATCTTCGATGGAACAGACCCCTTTCTCCATGTCCGCCTTTTTCCTTAGTCACCACAACATGGCAGTGTCGTCAAATACATAGCTCATGTCTGAATCTTGAATGTTTAACTAGTAATGTTCACATGCTCGAAATAAGCATCAATTTGCCACAAGAAGTTCTCAACGTCCTGGTCATTCATTTTACCATGAAACTCCTTTGGTTTATGAGCCTCAATACGTATCTCACGAACAGTTTCGAGACCAGCAACTCCCGCAACAGCAGTCTCATCAACCTGCCTTTTCAAAGTTTCAAATTCTCTATGAAGAGAGGAGAGAGCTTCGGTGAGTTTGAGTTCAAGGTTGGTCAGCCCTTCTTTGTTCACTTCCTCAAGCTCAATAAGGTTACTCTTCACCTCATCAATGCCCTCAAGAGCCACTGATTCAAAAGAACTAAAGTTGTTCTCAACAACAACAAGTTGCCTATTCAATGTCTACAAACCAGTCTCAACTCCGATAATTTTCTCGTCGAGTTGGCTAGTGTCGGAACCTTCCCTTTCTTCACCATTAGTTTTGCCACAAACAGGTGGGTTAGAAGAAGAGTCCTCACCTTACTTTTATCACTTTTCTTGACAGCATCCTTCCGAATCTCCTGCTCCCTTTCTTAAACAGCCTCTTCGTTGCGTTGTGACTTCGACGTCATGCTCGAACCTATGCTCTGATACCACATTTCACGAGCCTATTTTCAAAGGTCTCATGGGACAGCCAAGCTGGCTTGCAAATCACCACTTACAGTCCTAACAACAAATTAGGACTAAAGTGCAATAGTAAGAACGTCACAAACAGTCCTCAAACAAACAACCAACAAGAAGGCAAGTCAAGACCGATTTTTGGAAGACAAGTGCCAATTTTCATTTTATATTTCTCTAAGTGTTCTTCATACAAGTGAACTACTTGCAAAGACTTATACAATCTGAAAAACAAGTCTACAAAAAAAGGGAGCAAGGTCCCAAGATAAAAGGACTAAAATAGGTGTCTTTACAAAAGTATAAAAGTAGGTGGGAAAAGGTGGTCCTTTATTTCCATAAATGGCAAAAAGGTCCCTTTCACAAATCAGTTTTGTATTAGCCCTTGGGTTCCGTTTTGGAGGCTGGTCAATGGCATTAATTGCTCCCCAAGAGTCTCCAAGTAATCTCCCAAGGCTGGTTGACAATTGGCACGCCGTTTGAGACTCGTTGAAGTGCGATATAGATCTACCCCGCTCTCAGAAAAGTTGGAAATTAATGTAGCTTCTTTCGGGGTGGCACAACCTGCCTCCATAAATGTATTGGGGGTGGTGGAGCAAGTCCCACTATCAAATGAAGTGAATCATTCTGTGAAAAAAGTTAATGAAACAAAAAAGGAAGATCAACTAACATTTATGAACCTACTATTAGCAATTTGTTCTCGTTGGACTCGACCTCTATAGAGATAAAAGTGTCTATAAACAAGCCATCAACTATACAATTACAATGCAGAAGTCAGTTTAGAGAAAAGTTTGTCATGATCTTACCATACAAAATTTGTGGAGGGTCGAGGAGATTTGGGAGCATAATTTTGAGAAATTATGTAGATGTTGATATGTATATGATTTAATATACATTAGTAGGTATAACACCAAAATATTGATAGGTATAAGGTTTAATACATGGTAGTATATATAGCACCAAAAAGGATATGATTGCATAAGTAAATGTACTAGCTGGTATTGAAAATTTTAATATTTTTTTAGAAACGTGTCATTATTTTGTCGTCACATTTCATAGTATGGAGTAGTAACAATTTTGAGTGGTAAAATTATGAAAAACATTAAAATGACAAAGATAACATTTAAGGATGGGAGGGTGGGACACGTGTACAAATTAGAAAAATTATTGGAGTCATAGAGGTCTTATTTAAATAGTACTATTTGGCCGGGTGAATTGAAATTTTTTCATCTTTTTATTTTATTTTATATTTACTTTGATTGAAATTGAACGATTGCAACAACAAAAGAAAATAACACCCATGAATCTAATTTGCTTAGCAGTTTATTCTCGTCGGGCTCAACCTCTATTGAGATAAAAGTGTTGATAAACAAGACACAAACAATGCCAATAAAATATAGAAGCCAGTCAAGAGGAAAGTTTGTCACGATCCTACCACACAAAGTTTGTGGAGGGTCAGAAATATTTGAGGGGCTGATTTTAAAAAATTAGGCAGATATTGATATGTATAGGGCTATACATTATAGTATATATAGCACCAAAAAAGGATAGGACCGTGTTGACAAATGTGCTAGCTGGTACTGAAAATCCTTATATTTGTTTTGAAATGTTTCGATATTTTGTGGCAGCTAACACATTTTGTAGTATAGAGTAACAACAATTTTGAGTGGACAAATTATAAAACGTTGAAATGACAAAGGCATCAATTTAGGTTAGGAGGGTGGGATGCATGGACAAATCAAAAAAATTACTAGACCCATAGGGTCTCACTTTACAAATAGTATTATTTGGCCTGGTGAATCGAGAAAGTTTCACTTATTTTATTTTATTTTTACTTTGATTGAAACAGAGGAATCGTAGCAATAAAAGTAAATAATACAATTGAACCTATTGTGTTTAACAGTTTGTTCTCGTCAGGCTTGACATCTATGGTGATAGAAATGTTGATAAACAAGACACCAACTATGTCAATACAATATAGAAGCAAGTCAAGTGGAAAACTTGTCATGATCCTACAATACAAAATTTGTGGAGGATCAGAGAGATTTGGGGGCATCATTTTGAGAAATTACGCAAATATTGATAGGTATAGGGCTGGATACGCGGTAGCATATATAACACCCAAAAGGATAGGAATACGTTGACAAATATGCTAGCTTGTACTGAAAATCTCTATATTTATTTAGAAATGTGTCGTTGTTTTATGACAGCTGAAGCATTTTGTAGTACATAGTAATAACAATTTTGAGTGGACAAATTATGAGAAAATGCTAAAACGGCAAAAGGTAGCAATTTAGGATGGGAGGGTGGGATGCGTGGACAATTATAAAAAAATCGGACCCATAAGGATTCCACTTTACAAATAGTACTGTTGGTGAATTATGAGATTTTCACTTTATTTTATTTTATTTTTACTTTGATTGAAATAGGAAGATCGCAACAATGAAAACAAATAATACCCATGAACATGTTGTGCTTAGCATTATGTTCTCGTCGGGCCCAATATCTGTGGAGATAGAAATGTTGATAAAGAAGACGCCAACTATTTCAATACAATATAGAAGTCAATCAAGAGAAAGACTTGTCATGATCCTACTATACAAAGTTTGTGAAGGATCAAAGAGATTTGGGGGCATCAATTTGAAAAATTAAGTAAATATTGATAGGTAAAAGACAAGATATATGATGGTAGGTAGTACATATTGCACCCAAACAAGATAAGATTACGTTGACAAATGTGC